TCACTCACTCTTATTTCTTTCTCTTTCCTTTCTCTCTCTTCAACTTTGCGAACAGCAGCCGACGTACGCGAGATGAAAAAGGCGCGCTCGCGTTCGCGCGAGTTCCGCGGCCTGAGAACTCGCCTCTGGCTTGCCGGGCGGAGCCGCGTGCAATCCGCGTTTTCATGCGATTGGAGGCGGCGTTCCCCACCGACGCATTGACTGCCCCCACTTCGGCTATCATGCAGACTGTGTTGGACTCGGCCACGCTTTTCGTTCCACACTCGGCTCTCTTTGTCCCGCTCTTGGTTGCTCGAGGCCGCTGGTATTCTTTCCTTGTTGTTCTCCCGGTTTCTCCTCTTCCTTCTCTGAGAACTAACAACTCCCCCACTTTTGGTTACTCCGTTCTACGACCGTGTTCGCCGTGGCCGGTAGGCGGCCAAGCGAACGTACATGAGTCCTCTAGTGTAGCTGCACACATGCACGCGACAGCATCTGACCGCTGTACCACCAGCCGCCGCCGCCGTAGCCGCAGCCGTAGCTACCGCCGTCGTAGCGCGTCGCGTAAACTCTCGTCCAAGTGTGTCTTTGATCACGCCGAACGAGAAGGACGCGTCGACAGGTTGACCTGACTCATCTTGTTGACAGGTCGCAGGTAGTTACTGCCATTGGCGCTCTTTAACCGCATTGTCATCGGCCGATTTGATACGCTGCATCGTAACAGATCGGCGCTAATCATCGCACGTGTTATTTAGGATGACGTGATTATCTAATAAATAAGATACGACGAAGAGTGGTAAATTAGTGTAGTGACTTGGCTGAGATAGTTGAAATCTCGTTCATTGATGATGTTGGCGAGATAGTGTTCGTTGATGAGTTCATCAGCAAGTGCTCTTATCTCTGGCATCAATGACACTTGCAAATTATACTGCCGTAAAGACTTCTTGCTAATCCGAGTGTTTGAAGTGAATACGTGTTGTTTGTAAAGACAATTCGGATTGAACTTCAGTGAGAACGATTGACTGTTTGAGCCAATGACATTAGTGCTGGTGCTTTATGTGCTTTGCGGCTAATATTTTAATAGTCATCTGACAGAAGCGACGTGATCAAGAGACTTATTACGATACGTTTGTGATGAAGATAAAGATTGTTCTTGTAAATAACAACGATAATCAGGCCTTAGGTATTTTATGCGGTAAACAATTCGTGCATTGGATAGTTACATCTTAAACTGGAATACATCGCTATCACAAGAACGTGAATGTGACTGTGAGACTTCTGAATGAGTGTAGTGCATTCTTAAATTCTCTACTGTGTTTTCAAGAACTCGAAGACATTGACTGGATCTCATGCATAGGAAATTATGTTGACTAGCACGCAGTGAATATTTTAAGGTGTGATTTCTGTGTTAAGACCATTAGAAACAAGCAATCGTGGATGTTTCTTAGTTAATCGATTGAATTGAATTCAAGTACAGTATTTTTGAAGCGGTATTTCGTCTTCAAAGCGTTTCTACGAGCGATGATAGTCGACGCAAGCCGCTAAGTTAGCAGCGAACGACCTCCCACTGTGTGGAACGGTGCGATCCTTCGTCGAGAGCAGAAACCAGCAGGTGACCACGTTGGATCTCGCGGCGTTGACTGCCTACGGGGGCGTTTCGGGACCCAGGGTCGCGGTGGCGGGCACCGGGGTCCTTGCGCTGCCCCGCTTGATACCCGACAAGGGTTTATCATCGCCCGGAGGCCAGTCGAAGTCAAAGTCCGCAGGGCTGGCGGGTCTCGACAGCGAGGCGGTGCGCCGGTGGGTCGCGGAGGCCTCGCGAACCGTCCGGCAGTTCCCGCATCCGGTGGTCGTGCCTGTGAGTTCTCCGCAACATCAGCAGCAGCAGCAGCAGCAGCAGCAGCAGCAGCAGCAGCAGCAGCAGCAACATCATCGTCAGCCACAACAGCAACATCAGCACCATCATCATACTACTCACAGGCAACGTCAGGAACCCAGCCCACCGTCGGTGGGACTGTCCCCCTTCGTTCTACCAGTATCGATGACGCAAACTCCCAGTATGCGTCTGCTGGAAAATAACAACTTGGTCGAAGTTGCCATGGCCCAGCAGCAACAACAACAATCCCAGCAGGCGACACAGAAGCAGAAACAGACAAGTCCCACAAATAATAACACCATAGAAGCTTGGAGATCGATTCAAGGCGGGCATCAGTGGTGGAGTCCGCCTAGTAGTATTCAACAGGAACAGCAGCAGCAACAGCAAGTACCGTCGATCGCACAAGTTTCTCAACCGCAAAGTCTGGTGGCCGGATCGGTATGTGGTCAGGTGCAGAAGAATCAGCCGCAAGTGCAATCGGAAATCGATCAGCCGCTCGATTTCTCTGTTGGCTCTTTGCAGCAGCAGAGGCTGCATTCGCGCGTGAGGACTATGCACGAGAGACTTCAGGGTAGGATGCATGACAACAACAACGGAACAAGCGGCCAGAAAATCACCAGGGGAGACGTTAGCAGGCGAAGCTATAGCCCCAGTGAAGCTAGTACTAGCAGCAGCGAAGACGAGGGTGTCTCTACCGGCGGTAGTCCTACGGGACCTCTTCGAGGTGCTTCGGGTGAGTGTCAATTAAATTACACACGTTTCGTTAGAGTCTGAGATATATATTCAGAATCATCATGATTCGTTAATTTGTGATTATGAAGCTTAATATGAAAGAAGGAAAGGGAGAAATTACTCCATTAATTCTCTTTTCTCGCTTACGTATTTATTAATTTTAAATTTATATAACAGCTGTTTATAAAATTTTTGTGCATTTATGTTATTAATTCTCTCAATTAATTATTTCCGGAAACTTTTAAAACAACAATATGACGATTATATAAATCAGTGTAACATAATCGTTATATTAATAAGAACTGAATAACTGATATTGTCTCAGTAAATGTAGATTAAATTTTATTTATTTTTTTTTTTCTCTCTTTTTTCTTTTCTTTGTCTCTCTCAAAAGCAGTTATTTCATTATTAAATGCAAGTGATAGCATATCGATGAAGACGAATATAAGCAAATATCTCTCTATCGCAATATAAGTATCTCTTTATCACAATTTCTCGGTTCACTCAATTAACAGAGAATATTGCGCGACAGTTAAACAGTTTGCCATTATCGATACTGAATCGCGGACGTATGTTAAACAATCAGAATTATCTGATTAAATGTAGATTAATATGTTCATATATCACTACAAACAACGGCAAGAATCAAGCATTTTGTGGAAAACGTTATGTTTGTCAGCTGCCAGTGCAATCTGTGTTGCATCCTCGACGCCCCCGCGTTGCATTGTTGCTTTTCATGGAAATATTGTGGATCATAGCATTGTATTGGGTCATGTGGTCCCTTCAATCGCGAGAAACGATTTATCTGAAACGACCGGATTTTGCATTAATGCATCTCGTTCATGCATCGTGTTCTATTCTGTGCACGGAACGCGTGCCAGTTGAATTTGGGGGATTAAATTTACGTTCAGAGGGTGAATTTATTTTAAAAGAAAGAATCGCGACGTGTGTTCGTATTTTTCACGAGAATAGACTATTGATGACGCTATTTTCAACATCTGGAATGATCCGATATTTTACTTATTGCTTCTAAAAATAACGCACAATAATCTTGTGTTAATGTATAAAATACTTAGATATTGTGTAGATATTGTGTAGTTATTATGAAGATGTTACGACGTTCTCATCGTCATCGTGACAATGACTAATCGGTACTGGTTACGATTAATGATCCGTTATCTTGTCAACGCGCATTTATAAATTTTGTTTGAGTGCAAGCTATGCTAAGACCGAATTTAAGAAATCGGTATCGGGCATTAACAGATAACTGAGTCACCATCAATCGCTTTAACGGTAATTTTCATGTCGAGACATCGATAGTATAATTTCAATCAATATTGCGTCAATTATTCGTTTATGATATATGTTCCTTCTTCACCTCATCTTTGGACGTTATTAATTAGATGTAAAATACACACGCGGGCTTATTAATAACCGCGGTGCACGCGCCGCACGTTTCTGCTTTCAATTCAGAATTACCGGTTTCTGATAAACGTACGATTTACGGTTATACATGTGTCGTTTGTAATGTATCTCTTTCGTTCGCTTCAACAATCGCAATGTACAGATAAAATCTTGAGTCCCACCAGTATCGCGAGATAATACATATAATTAATAGTTGCTGGTTGGTAATAGACGCATGTTGTGTGTTCCATAAAAGTGGTTTCGTTAAAAACTGACTCTAGTTTTCGTCAAAGAATCTATAAGGATCGGTAAGAAACATATATTTTGAATCATTAATTTATTATTACTTACTTATTATTACTTATTTTTATAATGATATTGTCATTTTTATAATGATATTGTAACAGTGTAGTTACTTGTTAATAAAATTCATTAGGAATTGCGTTAATAATACAGGTAATCACGATAAGAAAGAAAAAAAATATTGATCAAGGTGAATAGGCGTTAGATTCTGTCGAGAGAACATAATATAATTTTTATACAGCTGTCTCTATTAACTACGATATGCGATGCGATAAATTGAAAATTAATAACGTTGAAGATGTTGTTAATATACGTTGATTAGCTGCGATAAGCATTAGATCAGAGGGATAAGCAGAAAAATTACAAACCAATTGATACTATTGATAAAAATGCGTATCGCTTTAGCCGGCCCGGTGTTGTCAATCTATGGCAATTACGTGACGTCTATATATTCCTCGTATTGGAGCATCTGATATCGAAGTTATCCATATGATAAGTTCTTCCTCTACATAGTTGCACTAAAATTAAATAAAAGTGCAATGGTAAATACAGTGCTGCGTATGTGGGAAAGAAAAAAGACCGTTATCGTATCAGTCGATAACGTCTTAGCTCTAATACTTGTTTGAATAAATATTCCACGTAGCTGTGTGATTGCATGGTTATTTTCGGCATACGTTGAAATCATGACGCAAAAATCTCGCTTACTAAGTTATAAATTGATCAACATATTTTTTATCTTCGCCAGTCGATCGACAAATATTCGTCTCGTGTAAAGAGAACAATCATTAAATAAAATATCGATTGTAATTATCAATTATTGCCATAAGGAATATTTAAGAATCGATTAATTGTGTTGGATAAAAATAAGTTTAATTAACCTGAAATGAATATAATAATTAGACTTTGTTGAAATATGATCATAATTTTGGTTAAAATAATTATTTATTATTTTATAATTAATCTATTATATTATCAAGAATCAATATAAAATCAAATTTATAGTTATTTGGTTAAAATAATTAAATAAATTTGATTGCATGAATTCTAGTAAAAACTATAAAACTATAAAATTTTTGATTAAAATATCACATTAT